CCCAAAAATAGCATGATAGGAGATCTTTAAAGTAGATGTTTTGAAGTGGGGTTGTATCAAAATCAGAAATCCTTTACTTGTCCCACAGCAAGGAAATTGTGTGTGTGTGTGTGTTGGGTGTGTGTGTGTGTGGTGTGTGTGTGTGTGTGTGTGTGTGTGTGTGTGTGTGTGTGTGTGTGTGTGTGTGTGTGTGTGTGTGTGTGTGTGTGTGTGTGTGTGTGTGTGTGTGGTGTGTGTGTGTGTGTGTGTGTGTGTGTGTGTGTGTGTGTGTGTGTGTGTGTGTGTGTGTGTGTGTGTGTTAAAGTGAAAGTGAAAGTGAAAGATAAAGATAAAGAAGTACTTTATTGATCCCAATTTGGGATAATTAAAATTTCAAAGACAAGAAATAAACAATCCAAAATGTAAACATCTCACATATTATTAAAATAGCATTACAAAAGTAGAAAATAGACAAGTTGAAAAAAATTATATGTACAGTAACAAAATATAAAGCATGATATTATAAATACATTAAGTGTGTAAAGAATGGAATATTAAATATTAATTGGAATATAAATGTAAAATCATAGAAATAGATGGCGACTCGGCATGCCCCCAATTTAGAAAAACGGACAAATCAGTGCAATGCTATGGACAGAGACAGCATGCCTTTATATGAACACTTTAGAAAGATGTTCCTGCTGATATTCAACTTGAACACTTCCTACAGATGGAGCATCTTATTTCAGACAGTTTGAAACGCGAGGGTCGTGATTGGGTCGTGATTGGTCCGTGATCGGCCCGTGATCGGTTCGTGATGAAGAGCCGGCCCCCAGTCTGACTTGATACCGCCCCTGTGATAAATACATTTAATTATTGTGAAGCCAGCTGCAATGGATCATTGATCCACCAGGGGGTGCAGTGGGGTTCCACACTGGAGCTCATGTGAAATCAACTTCGATACAGTAAACTGGATGTACAGTATGTCTGGTACTAATGTATAGCGGATCTTTGTTAAGATCCATATGTCACGGATAGGATCATAGTCTGTGCTAAATAAGACATGTAATCATTTACAAAACATCACCATGTTGTTATTTAACAAAATAATGTTGTTTAGTCGAAAAAAACGAACGAGAGGAAATGCAGCCGGCTCTCCCGATTTTTAATCCTAATTTAATCATCATCTTCACCACGATCATTTATGTTTATGTTCGCCGAATTGACAAGAAATCACTGACAAATATGAATATTCTGTATTCAACTTCATTAAAACGATCAGGATCCCTGGGTGTTATTTTTCCCCACAATGAGAAATAGTCAGAAAAGCAGAAAAAGAACACTCAAACCGAGAGATGAGTTATTATTACAACGTGACTTCACTATTATTTAACAACTGTTTTTATTGGGTTCTTTTATTTGGGGTTAAGTATAGGTGAATTGCACTAATGTGGGAAGATCGTGATGTCTCCTCCGATCTGCTTCATGATCTTCGTTCTCCCGCTGTGTAGATTGGGGGACCGCCGTCCTCTGTCTTCAATGTTCGACATCGCGGGAACAGAGGATTTCGACATTCTGTATTCCTTGTTTACTTCCTTAAACCTTTTCTCCTCCTTATCTCTTTCATGACTTTTTATTTAATGCTTTATAACAGCTGTAATAGTTTGTTTAGAAATCCTAGAAACACTTTTACGGCAGCTCTCATTTACGGTAACTCCTTCTGACGTCATAGCTACCCACGTATAATATATAAACAAAGTCTTGGCTTTCAGAATATGAAACTTTTATTTCCAAAATCACACGATAAATACATTTGTGAAGCTTGTAAAGGGAAGATGACAGGCACCTCACTCGCAATCTGCTCCTCCGCAGCGCCGCCCACCTCCCTCCGGCTGAAATTATGAATGTACAGTAAGGCATAGTAATCATAGATAACACGGCAGGGTCCGTTACAGTTTGTTTTCATCTGATTTCAAATAAACAAAGTCTTGGCTTTCAGAATATTAAACTTGTTTCGGCAAATTTAGATGATAAATACAACTATGAAGCTTGTAACGGCATAATTACTTAAGCGGAGAACGGAGTAATTTAACGTTACAGCAGGCATAACAACAGCCGGTGTTTATTTTATTATTATATATAGTCGTTATTCATTTGTTTTAAAGCTCAATAAGGAAGATTTAAACTTTCACACACGTTGACCGGTGAAAAACTCTGCCCGGTTCCCTCGGCCCCCACCACGTTGAATAAACAGAAGGCTGCTTTTGTGGAGGAAGTTACAGCGCTACGTACAGGCTCGGCATATGTACTGCAGCTTTTTCCAGCGGTATCCATAAATCTCTTAATTTTGACCTCAAAGTGCACCAGATTGATGCATTTAACTTCAATATAAAGAAAAACATCTTCTGTTGTAACAACAATAACATTATAAATAGTAACATAGCTGATCATGGTATTGCACATTTAGCTTTCAGTGTTACTGACCTGAGATGTTTTTATTACATGAATTAAGGTGACTGAGGCTTTTTAACATAGACTTTGTTTGCCTACATGTAAATGGGTGGCATTTAGTACCTACCCCCCTCTGAGTGAATACCTGTTAACTTCACATCTTGTCACAAACTTTTTGGAAGAAAAGACTGACCCAAGATATCTTGGTTTGATTTGGAGAAGGCTTTTAAAGCCTATTGTATACTAACTCTTCCCGTCAAGAATATGAATAGAACTTAGATAGATCACTTTACATTTCTGCTAATGAATAGCTTAGCTACTTGGCACTAAGAGTACAGATATGTCTACCCTTTCTTTTCAGAGTGTAATATCTGCATTTTCTCTTTTGGTTTGAATAGGAGAAGGGCAATGGTTATCAATGGTGCTTTTAAAGCCTATTGTATACTAACTGTGTGATTTATATTGCTTTTCAAATGCATATAGGCCCCCCCATTTACACTGCACTTCCCGTCAAGAATATGAATAGCACTTAGTTAGATCACTTTACAGATCAGGTTGGACCAGCCCTTCTCTGTCGCTACTCTCTGCAGGTCCGCTCCATTTCCTACTTACTGCAGATCAAAAAAAGCTAAAAATATGTATTTCTTAATAAACTAAATAGGCCACCATTGGTAGCAGTTCTCATTATATACTTCTCAGTAACTGCTCCCCTTAAATGAAATGTATTCTGTAGATTTTGGGGATTCATTAATGCATTTATTGCCATCACCATGCTTTTTCAAGACTCTTTTAAATTCTATCATTTTATAAGGACTTTTCAATGTTCGACATCGCGTGAAACAGAGTATTTCGACATTCTGTATTCCTTGCTTACTTCCTTAAACCTTTTCTCCTCCTTATCTCTTTCATGACTTTTTATTTAATGCCGGTGTTTATTTTATTATTATATATAGTCGTTATTCATTTGTTTTAAAGCTCAATAAGGAAGATTTAAACTTTCACACACGTTGACCGGCGAAAAACTCTGTCCCCACCACGTTGAATAAACAGAAGGCTGCTTTTGTGGAGGAAGTTACAGCGCTACGTACAGGCTCGGCATATGCAGCTTTTTCCAGCGGTATCCATAAATCTCTTAATTTTGACCTCAAAGTGCACCAGATTGATGCATTTAACTTCAATATAAAGAAAAACATCTTCTGTTGTAACAACAATAACATTATAAATAGTAACATAGCTGAACATGGTATTGCACATTTAGCTTTCAGTGTTACTGACCTGAGATGTTTTTATTACATGAATTAAGGTGACTGAGGCTTTTTAACATAGACTTTTCCAATGTCTGAGTGTAATATCTGCATTTTCTATTTTGGTTTGATAAGGACACATCCTGGGGATTGTGTTTACAAACATTGACCATACCGTTCACCATCCCCCACCCCCCTACTGTATGTTGATTTTTGACTGTTTGCCTACATGTAAATGGGTGGCATTTAGTACCTACCCCCCTCTGAGTGAATACCTGTTGTACCTGTCCGGGGCTAAGCCCATAGGACGATGCTCTGATGTCATCACCCTCGCACATTTGTCATATGTTTACAAAAAACGATGTTAACACTTTCTCGTTCTAAATATATGCTATATTTAGGGTCGATATGTGTTGAATTTACTTTAAAATAGCAGATCACTGTGACTGGATATAGTTTGGCTTAGTGAACGTGTGTCTCTTCCTCCGCGGCTCCTCCGTGCAGAGAGTTTGCAGCGGTGTGTGTCAGCAACGTGCAGTCAGGGGAGGCACGGATTGGCCGTCGGGAGAGTCGGGACTTATCCCTGGCCAGCTGTGAGTTCCACAGAACGGCCGGACGCCAACGACCCGGTTTGCTTACGGCCGACAACAAAATATTGATGTGTTCAAATGCTCTTCTAAACAAAACTGAAAGTCCATGAAAAGCTGTCTTCCTGTTTCTGTGAAGGAAGCGCCATCTCCTGGTTAAATCCTGAAATTGAAAATCTGGCAACGCCCTCTTGGAAAATAGTGGGAGGGCTTAACATTCCCAGATACTGGTCTTTGGCAGGTCTTAGGCAGGTAACTGGCAGGTAGTAGGCAGGAAGCAGTAAGCTGGAGTCTGAAATAAGATGCTCCATCTGTATGTGAAGTGAAATGATCCCAGAGTTTCAGGATCAGAACTCTGGACTGCGACTACTGGGAACGATCAGGCCATGATAACGTTTTATCCACAAATTATGAACTAATCATTGAACTAATGTTCAAATATATTTTGTTCATTACATGACAGTGTTTATGTTAGTTAATGTTAACTTCTTCTCCTCCAGATGCTCCAAAGCTCCCCTCTGTGAGTCCCTCTGCTGAGATAGAGGAGGGCAGTTCAGTGACTCTGACCTGTAGCAGTGATGCTAACCCAGCAGCTAACTACACCTGGTACAAGGAGAATGGAAACTTTATATCTCTGAATAAAGGACCACAGCTTGTCTTCAGCTCCATCCAGTCCTCTGACTCTGCAGAGTATTTCTGTACAGCTGAGAACGAGCTGGGGAGGATATCTAAAAAACGTCTTTATCAATGTAAAATGTGAGAGAAACAGCACCTTTTTTAAATGTAAAACAGAACTACTGAGTGTCTTAAAACAGTTGAATTTCTGTAATAACATTTAAACATTTATCTTCCAGATGTTCCAAAGCTCCCCTCTGTGTCAGTGAGTGCCTCTGCTGAGATAGAGGAGGGCAGTTCAATGACTCTGACCTGTAGCACTGATGCTAACCCAACAGCTAACTACACCTGGTACAAGGAGAATGGAAACTTTATATCTCTGAATAAAGGACCACAGCTTGTCTTCAGCTCCATCCAGTCCTCTGACTCTGCAGAGTATTTCTGTACAGCTGAGAACGAGCTGGGGAGGATATCTAAAAACGTCTTTATCAATGTAAAATGTGAGAGAAACAGCACCTTTTTTAAATGTAAAACAGAACTACTGAGTGTCTTAAAACAGTTGAATTTCTGTAATAACATTTAAACATTTATCTTCCAGACGCTCCAAAGCTCCCCTCTGTGTCAGTGAGTCCCTCTGCTGAGATAGAGGAGGGCAGTTCAGTGACTCTGACCTGTAGCAGTGATGCTAACCCAGCAGCTAAATACACCTGGTACAAGAAGAATGAAGACTCTCCAAAAGCTTCAGGACAGATCTACAACATCACTGACTTCAGAGCTGAACACAGTGGGAGTTATTACTGTGGAGCCCAGAACAAGTTAGGACGTAGTAACTCCACCTTACATCTGAGTGTTGTGGCAGGTAAGTCATACTCATGGGAGTCATGTACATGACTTAAAGGTCACATATTATGCAAAATCCACTTCTTCCTGTCTCTTCTACATCAACATGTGTCCCCTCTTCTTCATGTCTATTCTACATCAACATGTGTCCCCTCTTCTTCATGTCTCTTCTACATCAACATGTGTCCCCTCTTCTTCATGTCTCTTCTACATCAACATGTGTCCCCTCTTCTTCATGTCTCTTCTACATCAACATGTGTCCCCTCTTCTTCATGTCTCTTCTACATCAGCATGTGTCCCCCTCTTCTTCATGTCTCTTCTACATCAACATGTGTCCCCTCTTCTTCATGTCTCTTCTACATCAACATGTGTCCCCTCTTCTTCATGTCTCTTCTACATCAACATGTGTCCCCTCTTCTTCATGTCTCTTCTACATCAACATGTGTCCCCTCTTCTTCATGTCTCTCTTACATCAACATGTGTCCCCTCTGTGGAAAGAGATTCTGAAAGTTTCAGGAACAAAGATTCTCTCTCTTTTTGTCCTGATCCATTTATATAAAAACCTGTCTGAAAATGAGCTGATCAGATTTTGGCCACTTTATGATGTCATAATGTTTTTTTGGCTTGTGTAACCATTAGCCAATCACCAACCAAGGTCACACATTGGGATAACACTGGGTTTCCTCCTGTTCATCATCATCATCCTCTCTGCCTATCTGCGGACTATGTGAGCTTTACTATGACTATACTAACTAACACTAACAATTCAGCAATTATAATAAAATGTTTTAATTGTATTTGTTTTTTCACCACCACTATCAAGAAGATACAGTTTGACCAATCAATGGCGCAAGCTCAGACAGAGACTGAACAGCATAGCACAGGTGAGAGGAAGAGTTGAAAGATGTATGCTATGCTATGCTAGCTCAATGGCTGTAAGGATGGAACATTTACTGGGTTGGTCTGAGTCGGAAAATATATTATTTTAAATGTTCTGTCGCGCTATCATAAGGTTCTTGTTTTAATCACATATCTCAGCAATGAATTGTAATATGTTTGATCTTCTGAGACCTTACTCTAGCTATTTAATTGAACTGTTCATATCTTACACTGCACTGTAACTTTTATTCATGTATTTTATTATCTTTGATTTTTAATGACTGTTTTTAAATGCCATTTTCTTAATGTCTTTCATTTTTGTAAAGCACTTTGAATTGCCTTGTGTTGACAGGTGCTATATAAATAAACTTGCCTTGCCTTATCAATTGTATTTATATAGCACTATATTGTAATTTACACATTTATCTCAGGGGGATTTACATGCATGCTAGCACGCTAAACTGTGATGGTAGACACTGTGAACATTATACCTGATAACATGTTACCTCTCTTGTTTCAGACCCTGCGGCCCCTCACCTGCCCTCAGTTTGTCCACACAGTGTTTTCTGCTCTGACCAATCACCTGACCCGTATCATTCGTACACGCTGGAGTGCTGAATGCTCAAAGATTTGATTTGAGAAAAGTTTTTATTCCCACAGCAACATTGGAAATAAAATCATTGTTATGAAAACAAATATTTTTGCAAATCTTTGAGCCTGTCTTCATTTTTTCAAGAGAGGCTTGTCGGTGTGTTGCACAAAGTCTAACTTCGTCATACTTCCTGCTTTCTTACAGTGAAGACACTTTTCTGCCTGCTCTCGCCTCTGCTTCATTTTTCTGCAGAAATTCTTATTTATCTTCTCCGAAAACTTCAAGCGCCGGCTCCTGAACATTTATTAATACATTTTTGTTGATGTGGCATATTTAAACACTTTTACGATCACCTCAGTCCAATTAACTATTTGTGTCTTACACAGCACTGTAACTTTATAACTGTATTTTATCTGTCTAATTTAAGCATATTTTTTAAGAATGACAAATAGTCCAAATTTGAGGAAAAAGTCAGAATTTTGATAAAAATTTCCCAAAAGAAAATATTCTGACTTCCAAACTGAGCTAAAAATCTGAATTCTCTTTTGTAAAAATGAATAACAGAGCTGGATAAAAAATAAAAAATTCAACCTGAAACAACTTTTGATGTACTTATTTTTAGTTAGCAAAGAAATAAACGTAATACTTCATTCAAATTGTATGGGAGAGGATAAGGACATCATGTGAACATTTTTGGTTGACAAAAAACGTTCTGATATAGAGAACCGCAGTGACGCGTCCTAAAACCCGGAAGTAAGTTAGCATTTTTACCACTTCCGGTTCCTTCGCCAAAAAGCAATGCAGTTTCTCCATAGGATTTTGGAAAATAGCTGGAAATAAGGTCTGTGGTTGAGACACATTGAAGAGACGGATCACCTTTTGTTCTACGACATTAAATACATCAGCAGTGACCCCACTGGTGATTTTTGAAGAGTTTACGTGTCTGACGATGACGAAACGATGGTTGTTACCAAGTGGCTGAATAGGACTACAGAAGTTGTGGAGGTCGTTGTACGTCATTACACCGAACACGTAAAACACTCCCGCTAAGGGTAGACATGTGGAGATTATCCGGCTGAACAAAACGTGATCCGTCTCTTCAATGTGTGTCAACCACAGACCTTATTTCCAGCTATTTTCCAAAATCCTATGGAGAAATCGCATTGCATTTTTGTCGAAGGAACCGGAAGGAGTTTACTTCCGGGTTTTAGGACGCGTGGCACTCTATTGAAAAAAGTCAGAATTCTGAGAAAATGTTAAGAAAATTCAGAATTCATCTGAGAAAAAGTCAGACTTTGTGAAAGAAGTCGGATTTCTGAGAAAAAGTCTGACTTTTTAGAAAAATGTGATTCTGAGAAAAAGTCATAATTCTCAGAAAAAGTCAGAATCTTAACGGTTAGAAACTCTGAAATGCTTCTTTATACCTTCAGTGGTCCAGTTTTTTTTAATGCATTATTTCTGCAGGGCATTACAAACACCAATGATGTTTATACCGATCTGAAAATGAATAAGAAGATTTAACATTTTCTGTCAGAATCTTAAGGGTTTACTGAAAAAATGATTTATTAAGGCAACCATTAAACTAATGCATGTCTTTCTGCATTTCTAGGTAAACCTATAATAATAATAATTATTGTAGTCATAATTGTGACGCTGCTGGCTCTGATCCTGATAGCTGTTCTTCTTCTGTGCTGTTGCAGGAGGTAAACAATTTCACCTTTTAAACAATTTGTCTTTGTGGACATAATGTAAGACCTACCTTACATCTCTCAGTTCTGTCTTTTTTGTAAGGCTATTAATAGCGTTGTAAGACTGTAAGATTTCTAAATCATAAATTGTTTTGCTTGACAAATTAAATCCAGGAAGAAGAAAACTCTGGACTCCCCCAATGAAGCGAATGACCCTGTGCACAGTGTGAAGGTTAGAGAATCATGAAAGAAATGTGGTTTATTAAACTTATAATACATTTTTAGATAAAATCTAACAGAAAGCCTGTTTTAAATTGAGTCATTTTGTTGTTTCTCCCCATCAGCTGGACTCTGGTCCTGAGTACCAACATGTCTCAGGCTTCAAGTCCATCTCAGCAGCACAGACTGAAGACTCTGAGCAACAGGAAGAGCTAATGTGAAGCATCACATTTTACACCATGCACTGTTTATTGTAAACATTTCAAAGACACCTCACCAGATGGCACACTTTAGATGTTGCAGTGGCTGATTAGAAGAAACAGAGAGCTTCCCTAATAACTTTTGTTAGTTTGAACATCATTTCAGTCCCCTCTCACTCCCGCAGGAGGCGCCACTGTGCAGAAAGTTTTAGACAAAATGTTTCTGAACAGGTAAATATATTTGTCAAGCCGAAAGCACTGAGAGTGAACAACACAGCTTTCACAGGTTGGAGAGGAAAGAGCAGAATATGTGTTAGGAGATGGAGAAAAATCATCTTCAGAGTCACAGTATGACTCAACAACGTTTACAGTGCTGTGGAGTTAGCTGAATACTAGTCTTGCCATGAGACTAATATTTGAAAGCTTTTATATTGTCCATAATGGTAATTTGATGCAACCTAGGTCTGGTCTGCACTGTAAGCCAGTTTTTATAAATAACATTGCATATGTGAATATTTCTGTCGCCCTTGGCTGAATGTATTGTCTGTATGAATTATGATGCTATCAGTACTGTATAGAATAAATCATCCATGTGATGTTTTAACACTCTGTAAATCATCTTAAAAAATACATTCAATTTGATTGCAAATTGATGTGCTGATGATCAGTAATATCTTTCCCACTTACAGTTCCTTAAAATCAGAACCTGAATCCTTCAATGTTGAATAATTACCCATCTCTATTATTCCCTTTATATTTAGAAAGCTGATGTAAATAAACTCAATAACTTTTGAGCATAAATGACATTTTATACATGTAATAATCTGGCTTCAGACTGCGTCATGGTTCTGAAGTGAAGACTCCTGTGAAACTAGCACATCATTATTTACTGTTTATTAAAGGGGACCTATCATGCAAAATGCACTTTTGTACGTCTTTTATACATGAATATGTGTCCCCGGTGTTCCAGGGAACTCACCAAGTGTCAGAAAACACAACTCTCTCTATTTTCCTCCATACCCAAATCTCTAAAAAAGGGGCTGCAACGGATCTGATAAAAACTGATCCAGATTTGAACACTTCACTGACGTCACAGAAGTGGCGCTACGGCTATTGGGCCAACTCTACCAATCAGGGGAATGTGGGGTTGGGCCACGGCCGGCCATTGCCGCTCGAAAGCGCTGGAGACGTTGTAGTACATATGCCAGGCCTGTAAGTGGCGCTGTAGTCTGCCACAAAAGCAGTGAAGAAGACTTCCCGCCCATAGTTACCATGGTTACCCTTCTGTTTATTCTCCGCTGTGACTTTCTTTCTCCCTCCCCGAGGCAAGCGTTTGCTCCCGCTGCTTTAATTCAATGCAATCCCTCCCCGTCGAGGCAAGCACTGTAATTCTCTCCGGTTAGTCCACCAGCAGATGACAAACACCCACCTCTCCGCCTCTTCCAAGGAACGAGGGGACCGTGCGGCAGAGTTTCAGTTTCAGTTTCTTTCGCCGGTCAAGATGTCCGTTAAAGTTTAAATCTTCCGAACAAAATTAGAAAAGTGCCGGTCAAAGGTCTTCTTTGTTATTTATTGAGCTTTAAAACAAATGAATAACAACTCTATATAATAAAACACGGAGGACGGAGATCTCTTTTTCTCCCCCTCTTCTGACAGCCCAGCAGCTGATCAGAGCACGCCTCCCCTCTCCTGCAGGGGGGCGTGGTCAGCAGAATCAGACCCGTAGACAGCAAACAGCACATAGAGCGAAATGAGGCATGGCTAAAATGCATGATCTGTTTGGTATTTTGAAAACATATAAATATACCTTATATAGGTATGGCCCTACAATATATCATTTAAATATAGCATGATAGGTGTCCTTTAAATCTGTGTTTAACTCATGCCTAATCCCTGCACCTTGTATGTGTATACATGTACATCTAAATCTGCACCCAATTATCCAAAGTTACTTAATTATATTTAAACATGTATGTCCATTACTTCAACACTGTTTGTTATGTGAATTTACTGTAACCTCATTCACTCGATGCAAACTGCATTTTGTTGTACTATAACGTTGACTATAGTCTAATCTAATTATCTGTAAGTGGACGGCATCTTCACATTCAGTGAGGCACCAGGAGTTTGTTATTTGCCAATGATTAAAATACAGGATTACTCTCACATCTGGACATTTCCATCACAGAACATTACAAAGGTTTGACTGTAGAGGGCAGGGGTACATCTTTACAAAACATAATCTGAATATAGTTTCTCATGTGCTCTGTGTTTGTGAAAAAGGACCCAATGTGATAAATTAGTGTTCGAGATTACTGTTATTCTTTCAATCAGGAGAGACCTATTTTTGTCCGTAAAGAACATATATTGACCCATGCACGATATGATAGAAATGTTAAAAGTCTTTGGTGATAAGACCCCAATCCTAAAATCGTATATCTTGAGGGCATAGTGCAGCCGTGAGTATAATAGGAGTAGGCATTGGTGGTGATGTTGAAGATCTTTATTGATGAGGATGTGGATGAAGAGGATGCTAAATATCTGGATTGATGAGGTGTGGTTTTTGGATTGGCTCAACCTGGGCACTGGATATGATGACTTGATGTCTGAAACACCTGAAATCACACCTGACTGCAGGAGAGGGGAGAGCAGATGTAAAGTTTGACTGCAGCACAATGATTGGCTGCTGGAAATTGTGGTAAAATGTAATTAAAAGTGGACGCCCATAATTAGCTGATTATATGCAGTAGGATGAATACTACGGATGAAAAACAAATTCTTACTTTAATGATGATTTTTAACAATAAACCAACCATTCAGCGTGTTTGTCCATGTTTTTACACACATTGTGGCTTTAAGGATGGCAATGTTGAGCTGTCAGTCAGCCATTTTCATACTGTATATGTTTACAAGTTAATGCATTGTTTGCAAAACCACAGAGTTCTTCATTTTAACTATGTTTACCGTCTCTTGTATCTTGTAACTGTTAAGAGGAAGGAAGCAAGGGCAGTTTTTAACACGTTGACCTCTTTTTAACACAGCTGTACGAGTGACAGAGAAAACACCCTGCTCGATGTACAAACGTTTTTTGGTGACTCACTGACAAACAGTATTTCTCCTGCATTTGATCGACCTGATGGTTTATCAGAGACGTGAGGAGCAGCTATGAGTCTACCAGCAGCAGCGAGAGGATTTCTCGTCTTCCTTCTCGTTGTACAAGGTACTGTACATCTACATTTATATTGTAAGATAGTTGATGCAGCTCAGAAATACAGAGTGTTTGCACCATTTGGCATGGTAAAACCATGTCTGTGTTGATGGAAATAATGACTGTAAATATTACAAAACAACACTTTTTTTTTATTTAAATAATTGTTAATTAAAATGAATCGCTCTGTTGAACTTCCTCTTTCCTCCTGCAGTCCTCACCACTTAACTTTAGCAAGTGTTTCTCAGCATTATACATTCAGCAGCTGTATTTGATAATGTAATTCATATAAGAAACTTACGGTAGGAGTTGCAACGTGGATAAAAGTCACTAATGAATAATCATCTGACTTCAATCTGCCTGCGCCCATCAACGGATCGCTCTTTCTCTCTTTATGGCGGCCACAGTTTTGGCCCTAGGAGGCCGACAATTTGCATGAAGGTCAAGTGTGTGTGAAGGTGTGTGTCCGTGAATGCATGAACGTCTGTTTGCATGCATGTACATGATCGTAGCTTTTGCATTTTCTTCATGTTTGGCCTCCATTGGACGGTGAAAAGTGTAAAGACTAACTGGAAACAGGAAGAGAGATCTGGGTATGACATGCAACAAAGGCACCGGGGCGATCACAGTAACAAGTTAGTGCTGTAACTCCCTATCAACGCAAGGTGCTACATGCAGCTTTCTTCAATGATAAGATCTCTCAAAACTCTACACTTCAGGCATCACCAACATAAGGATACACAAAGTTACTGCATCGTAAAGATGGGGACATAGTAATATTTATCTGACAAAACAAGACTGAACATTGGATTTATGTTAAGAGTCATTTAGAAACATGACTTTAAATAAATACTCATGTGGTTTAGTGGATATTGTAGCTTTGATAAATATCTCATTTCTGCAGAGAAGCCAGATGCTTTCTTTTACCTGACAATGAGGAGACCTAGGTGCAACATGCAACATTTGTGTCGACTTTTGCAAGCAATTAGCAGTCCAACACTTAGAAATAACCTCTCTGTCAGTCATTTGTTATCTTAATATCACACGCCTCAATGTTCTGCTTTTCTTTGAAGTTTCCATTCACGCCCTGCAGCAGCCTGATCACTGAGAGAAAAGCAAGCCAGGAAAGAAGACTCTTTGTTCTGATCCACACCCTCTAATATGTTATTCTCATCTTTTTCTAAGGTTCAAATTCAAAAAAGTATTTATCTGAGTATTTATCAGGTAAATAATGCGTTAAAGGTTAAATACACTGCAGCATGATGTCCAACGTCAACATTATATATGTTTTTGATGCCTCTGTTCACTGGAAACAATATTAAGACTTTTTAAGTATAAACCCAGTTAGAAACAAACATCAGAACATTCCTGTCTATTTAAATTAATATAATATGAAATGATAAAAAGATGTGTTTGATAAAGCTAAGAAAGTCTGACGAGTCTGATGAATGTTTCTGATGTGCTCTGTGTTTCAGTGGTTCAGGGTCAGGGTGGCTGGGGAGTGACTTACTCTTCTACTGAGATCTGTGCAGTGAAAGGATCAACAGTGGAGATAAGATGCATCTTCACATACCCATATAGATGGAGAGGCAGAGTTACCACAGTGGAGAAAACATTCTGGTTTACTAAACAGAAAGGTGGTGAACCTGTAGATCTGACCACAGACTCAGAGTATGCAGGTCGTGTAGAGGATCTCTGTGAAAACAACATCTGCACTCTGAGAATCAGAAACCTGAGAGAGAGCGACTCAGCTGAGTACTGGTTCAGGTTCACAACAAACCAAGCAGGTGGAACATATTTTGGTTCACCTGGAGTCACTTTGTCTGTCACAGGTAATATTTTCATTCATGCCAATCAGTTCCAAATGTTCAACTTTAAGAAAACAATAATATAACCATCATGTTCCTTCTTCACAAATACAGATCTCTCGGTGCAGGTGGAAAGCAAAGATTCTAGCAGAGCTAACCTGACGTGTCAGAGCAGTTGTGATTTACCTGATAATGATTACGTCTGGTACAAGAACCGTGAAAAGATTCAAACAGGGACATCTTCTTATCTTCAAGTCGACTTGAGTTTTCTAGACAGCTATTCCTGTGCTTTGAAAGGATATGAGGACTCTCCCTCCCCTTCAGTGTGTGAGTTCACTTCACTACCTTATTCTAACATAACACCATCTGGAAGCCATAGCTAACTGTATGGGTATGTGACTTCTCATCAACTCTGGTAAAACAATGGTTTAAAAATCAGTTTGAATGTTTCAGGTGTCACTGGTCGAGACAGCAACACGGTGACTTCCATTCAAGGTAGTATCTGCGCCCCCAAAGGATCATCAGTGGACATTTCCTGCACGTACAGCAGTAATGAATGCATTACATCAAAGTTCTGGTTCAGTCCTGAGCGTAGTCATCAGTGGCAGAATCCCTCTCAACCTGAGGACCTTAGTAAAGACTCCCAGTATGCAGGTCGTGTTCAGATCCTTGAAACAGAGAGAGGACGCTCCACTCTGAGGATCTCTGACCTGAGAGACTCAGATTCAGCTCAGTATCTCTTCAAATTCAAAACACCAAGCTTTGAATGGAGGAGTGATTTACCTGTAACAACTCTGACTGTCACAGGTACTGATCAACACACACTGATAAAAATACACCTA